GATGTTAAAACAACCTTCAATTCCTGGAATAAATTCTACTTCATCAATGGTGCATAATTCTATTTATTAGTTGCTGAATTTGGTTTGCTAGTGTTTGTTGAGGATTTTTATATGTGTGTTTATAAGGGATATTCATCTTGTAGATTTTTTGTAATGTTTTTATCTGATTTTGATATAAAGGTAATATTGGCCTCATAGAATAAGTTAGGAAGTTCCCCTTTCTTCCTTTTTTGCAGTGGTCTGTGAAAAGCTCGTGGTAGAATTAACCAATGAAGGCATATGTGCCTGGGCTTTTCCTGTATGGGAAGTGTAATTACTTATTTTATCTCTTTGTTATAGACCTATTCAGATTTCTGTTTCTCCTTGAGTCAGTTTGGATAATTTGTATCTTTCTAGAAACTTGTCCATTTCATCTAAGTTATGTAATTTACTGACAAATGGCTGCTGATGCTATCTACACTAATAAAAGAGAAAAATGCTCATTGATTGTACCTTTGCTACACCCACAGCCAGTCAGGAGTTATATGCAAATTAAGCCAAGAAAGATGGAGGGTGAATTTGCGTATGCAGGAGGGGTGGGCTGCGCCTGATGCTGCCAGCTGGGACCAGGCAGCCATCAGGGACCAGGCAGGCCAGGCAAGGAGCGCCTGATGCTGCCTGCTGGATCAAGACCATAATAGGTAACTGGGCAGTGGGTCGGGGGCAGTGCCGGATGCTGTGTCCAGGCTGCCATCAGGGATCAGGCAGGCCAGGCAGGCAGTGCCTGACACCACCCTCAGGGTCCAGTCCACCATGGGGGATTAGGCAGCCCAAGCAGACAGCGCCTGACATCATCTGCAGGGTTGAGCTGATAAGTAAGTGGGCGGAGGTAACAGGGAGAGCCTGACGCTGTCAGCGGGGTCCAGGCTGCCATTGGTAACCAGGCAGGCCTGGCTGGCAGTGCCTGACTCCCTGAACGGTATCCAGGCTGCCATCAGAGACCAGGTAGGCTGAGCAGGCAGCACCTGACGCTACCTGCAGTGTCCAGTCCACCATGGGGGACCTGGCAGGCCAGGTGGGCAGAGCCTGATGTCGCCTGCTGGGTCGAGGCCTTGATAGGTAATGGGGTAAAGAGGGGGGAGGCAGTGCCTGATGCCGCCCATGGTGTCCATGCAGCCATTGGGACCCTGGGTAGGCTGGGGTGGCCTGGGTCTCTGGGACCACTGTCTGACCCCAGGCCGCCTGTGGACACCAGTGGAACAGGCTGGGGTTGAACATTTTAATGAAAATGGGATGCCTGTGCCCCGGTCTACCATGCCCAGTCCCTGGCGAGGAGAAGGCAGTTGGCAGTTAGCAAGCACCAGGGTTTGGCAGGAAGTGGGAGCAACCTGCAGGCATGCTACCAAGAAGAGGTGCTAACCATGATGACGCAGAGCTGGCTGATAGAGGCACGCAAAGGTGCAGATGAGGTGGCTCTCGCTGACACTGAGCTTGGAAAGTGCACCAACAGCCTGATGGACTAAATCGCCTTTCTGAAGAAGGTGCATGAAGAAGAGATCACTGAGCTGCAGATACAGATCCAGAATGCTCAGATCTCCATGCAGATGGACATGTTTTCCATGTCTGTCATGCTGAAGGACATCCGTGCCCAGTACGAGAAGCTAGCTGCCAAGAACATGTAAAATGCAGAAGAATGGTACAAGAGCTGCTTCACCATGCTGACCGCGGTGTCCTGCCAAGACACCTACGGGATGCACGACACCAAGGACGAAATGTCTGAAAGCTGCTGCCTTCTCAAGGCCAAGACCCCGGAGATCAAAGCATTCTGGGGCATGAACTAAGCTCTGGGAAAGCAGCTGTGAGAGCTGGAGGATAAGCAAAACTCTGATGTTATGCAGGACACAATCAACAAATTAGAAAATGAGGTGAGAACTACTGAGAGTGAAATGGCATGATATTTAAAAGAATACCAGGACCCCCTCAATATGGCTTTGAACATTGACATTGCAGCTTACAGGAAACTCTTGGAAGGTGAGGAGACTCAGCTCAGTTTCACCAGCGTGGGAAGCATAGCCAGTGGCTTCTCCCAAAGTTCCCAGATCTTTGGTCGATCTGCCTAAGGTGGTTTACAGACCAGCTCCTACTTGATGTCCAATCGCTCCTTCCCTTCTTAATACACCAGCCATATCCAGAAGGAGCAGATTGAAGTGGAGGAGACCACTGAGGCTGTAAAAGCTCAGGAAGCCAAGGATGAACACCCCTTTGAAGAGAAGATGAAGAGGAGGAGAAGGAGAAGGAAGTGGCTGATGAAGAGGAAAGAGAGGAAGAGGAAGAGCAAGAAGGTGCCAAGGCAGAATTTGGGGATGCAAAAGAGGAAGAAGAAGAAGGTGAAGGAGAAGATGCCCAAGAAGCTGAGGATGAGAATCAAGATGAAGGTGCTGGGGAGGAGCAAGCAACCAAGAAAAGATTGAGCCCCCCTTTCCTTAATTATTTCAGGAATAATCCTCCTGAAACCAGGTCAACCCCATCACCAACCAAGCAGTTGAGTTCCCAATACTATATGAATTAATAAGTCAATATATATAACATTCTGAGGAGACTCAGGTTTGACATTAAATGTTATGCTATGACTTTTCTCCTTATGCAGAGTATCTGTTTACTTACAGAGTGGCTTCTTGGCTTGCTGCCAGCCTGTGCATGGTCGATGCTTATGAGTTCAGGATCTATGACAATGTGAATAATTCAGATGTTTACAACAAAAACACATGAATACACTGATGTTAATGTTAAACTTCATGGAAAAAGTAGTCCTTTGAGTCTTTGGTGGTAGAAATTAAAGACCTCAAATCATGTGTGATAAACAGTAAATAAAGTTACACTGAATGACAAAAAAAAAAAAAAAAAAAAAAAAAAAACAAAAAAAAAAACAAAAAAAACATTAGGGGCCAGGAAACATTCAAAGAACTAGGGAATCATTCCCAAATCAGAAAGGGAAGTCACAGGTTGTATATTTTTGCTATGAATATAGTATTTCCTACTACTTACAGCATATCCAATGTAATGTATTAGATGCCTTCCTATCACATGAAGTAAGTATTCTCATAGAGTAATACTGGTACATATGTTATAGTTATGGCAGTATGTCATACCCTATATATATTAATAAAAGGGTAATATGCTAATTAGACCATGAGACCTTCCAGAAGTCTTTCTAGACAAAGCCATGGTGGCAGGGCTGAGGCAGAGGCTGTTAGGGGTAATCAGGCCAGGAGGGGAAGGCAGTTGGGGGTGATCAGGGTGACAGGGGGTTAAGTTGTGGGCAATCAGCAAGCAGTCAGAATGGTTAAGGGTGATCAAGCAGGCAGGCAGGCAAGTGGTTAGGAGCCAGCAGTCCCAGATTGCAAGAGGGTAGTCCAACTGTCAGTTTAGGCCCAACCCCACAGGGGTCTCAGATTGGAGAGGATGCAGGCCGAGCATCCTCTTATCCCCACCCCCACCCCCACTCCTGTGCACGAATTTCGTGCACCGGGTCACTAATATCCTTATAATCATTTTTATTTTTTTAAAGCTTGGAACTGATGTCCCCTCTCTCTATCCTGATTTTAATACATTGAATTCCTCTTTAAAAAATTTTTGGTCTGTCTAGCAAAAGATTTTTCAATTTTGTTGATATTTATTTTCAGAGAAACATTTTGGTTTCACTGGTTTTCTCCATTTTTCTCTTCCTTATTTTACTTTTTTATGCTAGTTTATTATTTTCTTTCTTCTCCTTGCTTTTTGTTTAGTTTGCTCTTTGGTTTTTTTTTTGTGTTTTTTTGTTTGTTTGTTTGTTTTTGTTGTTTTTTTTCTTGTCTTAAGGTGGAAGGTTTGGTTCTTAATTTGAGAGCTTTTTTTTAAATACAAGCATTCATAAGTTTCTCTTTGAGCACTGTTTAGCTGCATCCAGTATGTTTTGGTATGTTGTATTTTTATTTTCATGCATCTTAGAGTATTTTCTAATAGTCCTTGTGATTTATTTCTTAATACACTAGTTATATAGAGGTGTGTCTTCAAATTTCCACGTATTTATAAATTTCCTTCCCAAATTTCCTTCTGTTATTGGTTTCTAATTTGATGTCATTATAGTCAGATAACATACTTCCTCTGTTTTCAATTCTTTTAAATTGATTGAGGCTGTGTTACAGTTTATGATTGTAGCAAACTAAGCTATAGATCAATCAGAAGTTTAACAAATAACCAGAGAAAGAGATAGCTAAAATCCTTTCATATATTAGTATTTGTGTAGCTCTTGTTACATATAAGTTAATTGTTTTCTAAAAGGGTTATACCAGTTACACTGCTGTTATCTACTCATGAGTCTACTAGCTTCATTGTAACCTCTTTATCATAGATGTTACATTTAATATCCTATATAATAAAGAGAGAATAAGCTAATTGACCCTCACACCATTGCAAAGATGGCAGCACCCACAGTCAATAAGGAGGTAATATGCTAATCGACTTCCATGCCCTCAAATATGGCGGTGCCCACAGCCACAAGATGGTGGCACCCAGTCCCCTAAGCCCCACTGAGGCAGCAGGCACCCAGTCCCTTCAGCCCCCCAGCTACCCAGGGCTGGCCTGAGGCACAGACAAGCCTCAGATGGCAACTGCCCAGCTGACATCCGAGGTGCAGGCAAGACTCAGATGGTGGCTGCCCAGCCACCCAGGGCCGCCCAAGGCTCAGGTAACCAGGGCCAACGGAGGCTTGCATTGCCAGCAGTGTCAGCAGCAGAGGTGTGATGGGGCATTGCCTTCCCCTGATCACTGGGTTTCCTCCAGCCCCTGAGGGCTCCTGGACTGTGAGAGGGGGCAGGCCAGGCTGAGGGACCACCTTCCTCCAGTGCATGAATTTTCATGCACTGGGCCTCTAGTTGGTTTATAATTCTTCAGAGTATTTATTGTTCACTGTGTTATAATACTTTATCAGAGGAACAGAGATAACTTTTGATTTATATTCTTTCCTTTTCTTTACTCCCAAGACACCTGGAATCTCTGTGACTCCAAGTAGTGCCTCCTTTTCTAGTGCATATAATCAAAAGACATTTAAAGATAATCGTCAAGGTCAATGGCAACGTCGAAGACGGCTGGATGGAGCACTGAACAGAGTCCCAATTGGATTTTATCAAAAAGTATGGAAAATTTTACAGAAGGTGAGCATAACACTTTGCAGGTGTCTCTATTTTCCTCCTTGCATTCCTCATTCTCCTTGGCTGAGATATAACATGACTGTGACATCATAGCAGTTATATAGATGTGAAATGCTACATGATGAAACCTAGAAGAAAACCTAAAAATGAAAGAGTTGATTTGTTATTTTGACAGTATTGATAATTTAGTCTCTTTCTACTGTTATTGCTATGGTGTTGTTTATAAATTAAATTTTAAAAAAATCATCACTTCTCTGTTTTTGCTCACAATTGGACATTGTAGGACATTGTGATGCATTTGCTGCTAATCAGATGAATTTGTAACACTGTGTTGTTAATAACTAAATGTCACTATAGTAAAATAATTGCAGCATCTGAGTGGTTTGTATAAAAAATTCTTACCTGTATTTTTTTTTTTGGATGAAAACTACTAAATAAATGCAAAGTCATAATGATGTTAATAGTCCAAAGACTTTGTTGGCATGACCAATTTTGTTTTTCTTTTAAAGGCTTAGTTTGTCAAAGACATTTAAGGGGATGTACCATTATGTTTGTGACAGGTTTAGAGGGTCAGGAAGACCATTGTACTCATTCATAGGCCTCATTCATAGTCTCTTAGGTGCCACTTTTTGCTTCATTGCCCTTGGCAAGAACCTTAAGAATACTTCCTCCAGGACTTCAGAACCTTTAGTTGTATTTCTCCCCTTAACACATTAATATTCTTCCAGTGACAAAATCATGCAATCATTTGGTAAGGTGGAAGTTGAGTCCATAGACTATCAACCCTGCAATCTTCCTCTCAAATAGTACCTAAAACTTGCTTTCAGTCCATCTAACTTCTCGAGCACAGTGGTGACATATATGTACCTGGCTTATAAAAATTCAGTTTCACAGACATATATTAGGTACTGTTCTACACCAAATACCATAGAAGATATCTGTTCTTGTCACTACAGAGTTTAGTTCATAGTTATCTTAATTAGCAGCTATAATGCAAGGCCAAGATACATATGATAAAAGTGTAGAACCATGAGGCTGTGAGAATACAAGAGAATAACATTTGAAATCTGATGAGGGAGATTGGTATTTTGTGGTGGAATCAACACTTGGACTTGAAATCCTGATCTAAGAGGAAAAACAAATGCCCTGTTTTTTGTTTTGTTTTTTTGTTTGTTTGTTTTGTTTTTAAATATATTTTATTGATTTTCCACAGAGAGGAAGGAAGAGGGATAGAGAGCTAGAAACATCGATGAGAGAGAAACATCGACCAGCTGTCTCCTGCACACCCCCTACCACTGATGTGCCCACAACCAATGTACATGCCCTTGACCGGAATCAAACCTGGGACCTTTCAGTCTTCAGACTGATGCTCTATCCAATGAGCCAAACCGGTTTTGGCTGCCCTGTTTTTTTTTTTATTCAATTCTTTTCAGATTATGAATGTAACATACTCACAGTGCACACATGCCTAAAGGCTAGTACAAAGACTGTTGAATTTGATTTATGAAACATAGAATAGAAGTGTCTGGTAGAGTTACTAAAATAATTGGATTGAAATCTTTATCTGTGGTGTAATATATAATGTTTTGATTGATTTAAAATCTAAAATGGCAAGTCATTAGTTCTTATTGGCTTTTAGTAATTGAATTGATGTTTAGGAGGAAAATAAAATACCATTCATTCCTATAGTATGTCTTAAGCACCTGCTGTGCACTAGGCAGTGCCCTAGGTGCTGGCAGTGATACAACAAAGAGCAAAACAGACAACAATCGCTGATCTTATAGAATTTACATTCTACTAAGAGAGATAAATAATAAATAAATAACAAGCATAGCAAATAAGTAATTACATATAATGTTAAAAGATGACAAGCCTGTGGACTGAAGGGTCCTGGGTTTGATTCCAGTCAAGGGCACGTACCTAGGTTGTAGGTTCAATCCCTGGCCCTGGTCAGGGCACATGCAGGAGGCAACCAATCAATGTGTCTCTCTCACATCAATATTTCTCTCTCTTTGTCTCTTCCCCTCCTTTCCTCTGTCTCTAAAAATCAATGGGAAAATAACCTCAGGTGAGGATTTTAAAAAGAAATCACAAGTACTATAGATGTAGAGAGTATTGATGGGGATGTTTAAATAGAAAATGTAGTAACTGCGTATGTCCAATAAATTTATATCTTGAGATTTTTTCTAAAAATCTTTCTGAAAGCCTATTTGTGATCGCTCTGGGATTGAGTATGGTATCCTTCCATGTAGTCTCTGAATCTTTGGGGCCAGTTGGTTGCCAAAGGTAGACCTTCCCTACGCCTTCCACTCCCCTAAGTAGAGTATGAACCTTAGGTCTCTTATAGTTCAACCCTGCTTCTTGCACATAGTGATCACAACCCCTTGTCAAGCTGCAGGGCCTTTCACTGGCTTGTGATTACTTAGCACCTCTCCTGTGAAGCACACTTAGACATATTAAGTATCTCCTTATAGTCTCCCAGTTGCCAGCATAGCCTTATTGACAGCATGTTTTTGCTGTTTTGCAGTGTCATGGACTTTCAGTGGAAGGTTTTGTTCTACCTTCTTCAACCACTAGAGAGGTAAGATTCTGTCATTCACATTTATGTGATTTCTAGCTTGTCTGACTAAAGTATTTCAATGATCATTTTTCAGAATAACAGAACTGTGCTTTTATAAATCAACTGAACATGAAGTTTGAAGAAATGAGAGAATGTTTTTAACAAGTAGAACAAGAATATTAATGAATAATTACGTATTATATTAGTTATATAAGAGCAGCTTCTTTTAATGATTAAATTGGGCTTATTTATGTGAGTGTTACCAGAGTTGGAGGGCAGACAAGATAAACACCTAAGAATGAATGATTTCTCATGTCCCTATTTTTCTTAACCCCAACATTCTGTGGTAGAATGCTTGTAGACTATTAGATCATAAACCAGCATCCTTAGCTCCAACTATATGTCACAACAATCTGAGCTCTCATCTCCAATTTAGTGGATTATAGTTTCCAGGGATAGGGCTTGAGCACCTATACTTTTTTTGTTTTTGAGCATCTGCACTTTTAAAAAGTCCTTAGAATGACTCTGATATATAACTGTGATTGGAAAACATTGCCATGAAACACAGACATAGTTTATCAGGTACTTTCACATTTTACTTTTCGCCCAAACATATGGAAAATTTAAAGAAATGGTTTGTATTCAAAATCAATAAATAGGTTAGAATTAGGAATCTAGAAATAGTAAATTGGACAGTAGAAAATTCTCAAAAACACTAGAATTGTTACAGATATTTTCTGGAGAGTCAAGTATAGAAAGTTAATGCTCCGCTTCAAGGCTTTACTCTTGCCTATAGACATTTCCTCTAATAAAGAACACTGTGTTCTCTTTGTCTTTTCTCTGCCTTCCAGCAAGATTGAAATGTTAATAGAATCCTATATAATAAAACCCTAATATGCAAATCAATCAAACGGAGGAACAACTGGTGTAATGAATGGTTTCTATGACATGCACTGACCACCAGGGGGCAGACATTCAATGCAGGAGCTGTCCCTGGTGGTCAGTGCACTCCCACAGGGGCTTGGCTGAAGAGGAAGCCAGGAGCCCAATTCCAGAAGCCAGGCACACGGCTGAAGAGCACAGCAGTGGTGGTGGGAACCTCACTCACCTCCGCTGCAGGTGAGCAGTAAGGAGTGAGGGGCCCTGGCCTGCGAGATCCCTGGACACCAAAAGGGATGTCTAATCCAGCAGGTGGATATCCCCTGAGGGGCTCCAGACTGCAAAAGGGTGAAGGCCAGGCTGAAGGATCCCGTTCTGGTGCACGAATTTCATGCACAGGGCCTCTAGTTAATAATCCTACCTAATAAATAAGAGAGTAATATGCAAATTAACCATCACTCTGCTCTACAAGCCACGCCCACAAGCCACACCCACCAGTCCATCAAATAAACCCAACCAAGATGGCTACAGCCACAGAGAGCAGGAGGGAGGCATTTCCCTGGCAACAGAGGAAGCCAAACTTTCAGCCTGCCCTTGCCGGCCTACACCTCCACTCAATGCTACAAAGTTTCAATTATAGAAGGTAAACAAATCCAAATAGAAACGGCTGCAGCCATGGGGCGAGCAGGAGACTTGGCTCTGCTCCAGGCTACAAAGTTTCAATTGTAGAAAGTAAATATATCCCAGATACCAGGGCCTCAATTTGGGTTGCTGGGGGACATGGCTGGCTTGCAAATCACCACAGGCCCCTCGCTCAGGCCACCCCATGCCCCATGGGAACCCCCACCCTGATCTGGGACACCCTTCATGTCAAACCAGCTGGCTCCCACACATGCACCAGGCCTCTATCCTATCTAATAAAAGAATAATATGCCGAAACCGGTTTGGCTCAGTGATAGAGCGTCGGTCTATGGACTGAAAGGTCCCGGGTTCGATTCCGGTCAAGGGCATGTATCTTGGTTGTGGGCACATCCCCGGTAGGGGGTGTGCAAGAGGCAGCTGGTCGATGTTTCTCTCTCATTGATGTTTCTAGCTCTCTATCTCTCTCCCTTCCTCTCTGTAATAAAAAAATCAATAAAATATATTTTAAAAAAAGAATAATATGCAGATTGACCATCACTCCAATGCACAATATGGCTACCCCCTATGTGGTCAAAGATCTTGCCCCTTTGTGGACACAAGATGGCCAGCAGGGGAGGGCAGTTGGGAGGGACCAGGCCTATAAGGGAGGGTAGTTGAGAGGGACCAGGTCTGCAAGGGAGGGCAGTTGAAGGCAATCAACCCTGCATGGGAGAGCAGTTAGGGGTGACCAGGCCAGCAGAGGAGGGAAGTTGGGGGAAAACAGGCTGACAGGGGAGCAATTAGACATCAATCAGGCTGGCATCGGAGTGGTTAGGGGGTGATCAGGCTGGCAGGCTGAAGTGGTTAGGGGCAATCAGGAAGGCAGGAAGGTGAGCAGTTGGGAGCCAGCAGTCCTGGATTGTGAGAGGGATGTCTGACTGCCCGTTTAGGCCCGATCCCCCCTGCACCTGTGCACGAATTTTATGCACCGGGCTTCTAGTCCTATATAATAAAGAAGTAATATGCAAATTGACCTTCACAGCCTCACAAGATGGCTGCCTATGACCAGGCCAGTAGGAGGGTTAGTGAGGGATGACCAAATGACTGAACAGCAGGCTGCATTGGGGGGCTGTGAGGGGCGACCAGGCTGATGGGGGGTTGCAGTTGAGGGTGACCAGACTAGCAGGGGGGCATTTGGGGGCAATTAGGCTGGCAGGGGAGGCAGTGAGTGGTAACTGCGCCTGCAGGGGGGCAGTTGGGGGTAACCAGGCTGGCGGCGGGGGGGCAGTTAGGTGCGATCAGGCAGGCAGGCAGGTGAGCAATTAGGAGCCAGTAGTCCAGGATTGTGAGAGGGATGTCCGACTGTCTGTTTGGAGATGATGCAGGCTGGGCTGAGGGACCCCCCCCCCCCCCATGCATGAATGTCATGCAATGGGCCTCTAGTAATAATACATAACTGAATGGTAACTTTAAGAGTTTTTTAAAGTATCTTCACACATTCTTTAATTTTATCTTCAACACAAGTATGTGAGATAGCTAAGAAAGAGATAATGGTAGAACTAGTAACTGACAAAGAGAGGACCTGAACCAAGGTTTTTAGATTCCAAATCTGCATTACCACCTTAAACTGTATATTTAATATAATTTTGCCAAAAATTATTCTTCAATCCCTTCATGCTAAATAAACTTCATATTTCTTTATGCCCATTTTAACCTGATAGTATATTCATGATTGATATATAATACCTTCAGTCATTTTAAGTTCTATTTAGTTTTTTCATTTATCCAGTCATATTTACTTTTAAATGACTATAAAAACTCATGAAGTTGCTATACCATATGCTGTTATTTACACAATCATTCCCATGTTTAGCTTACTTCTGGTCTTATGCTTGTGACTAATGCTGCTATAAACACTCTTGTACATAGAGTTTGTTTTGTTTTTTCCCTTTTGAGTTATTTTGTTAGGATGAACTCCCAGAAATAGGATTGGGATTAGAAGGCAGCAATACTTTCATGACTCATTAGGCAATGCCAGACTGCCTTCCAAAAAGGTTAAACCAATTTACTTACTTACTTTAAAGTGCTCTTGGCTACAGCGTTTTTACTGCCTTTCAGAATAGATGAACTAATGTCTCCTGATGATTGGTCCTTCATAAGTGATTTTCTTTTTCTCTATTGCAGATGACTCCAGGGGAGATTAAATTCTCTGTTCATGTGGAGTCTGTCCTAAATCGTGTGCCTCAGCCAGAATACCGCCAGCTTTTGGTTGAAGCCATTCTTGTTCTCACCATGATGGTAGATATTGAAATTCATAGTATCGGAAACATTATTGCTGTGGAAAAAATAGTGCATATTGCCAACGACTTGTTCCTTCAAGAACAGGTAGGCAAACCTATTGTTTTCTCAAAAGGGAATATCTGGCACTAATCTGACTGCATTGCAAACTCTTCCTGAAGTCACCGTCACTTTCCTGTGCCCTATACTTAATCGCTATTTTGTGGGTCCCTTTTGTGATGGCTCTGAACTGATTGCAAAGGAAGTAGGCTGCGAGATGACCTGCCTTTCACCATATATTATATGCCTGTTAGATTGTAAAGTTGCTTGGAACTCATGAGCTTTTATGCTTTTCATTGTATTTCAAAATTTTTATTATACTACTTTTTATTGTGATAAGAATTTAATGAGAGACTATTGGGTGTCATACCCTCTCTGAAGTATTAAGGAAAAGAGAATATCATATTTTAGTTTTGGTTTGGTTTTGCTTCTGATGCTTACCTATAGGAAAATATTAAAGTAAACCTTTTAATTCTACATTTTTTTCTTAATAAAATTTCTTCCAGGAAATTAACTATATTTTTAAAATATAAACTATTTATTGAAAGCCTTCCAAATGTTTCCTAGATTCAGTGTAGGAACACATAAGGTGATGGACATGCACTGTTGTCCATAGAAAAATCTCTAAGACATTGACAGGTGTTTTATTCTCTTAAGCACTGGGGGGTTGGAGGGTGGGAGGGATTCAAAAAAAAGTAAAAGTATCTGGGATTTTCTAGGATAATCCTGATTTTAAATATTCTGAGTTTCAGTCAGTTTGTGAATCAGAAATGCAATCTTTTTTAGACATAGACCCTAGCTTAGAAAGTTTATAGTATACCTGAATTAAGTAATGTAGAAAGAAATACTGGTAAAATGCAATATAACAATACACAGCTGAAATCAGTAGTATTAGCATGACTCAGACTAAAGTCCCTCTAAGGCTGTGGTTGGCAAACTGCAGCTCCGCGAGCCACGTGCGGCTCTTTGACCCCTTGAGTGTGGCTTCCACAAAATACCACAGCCTAGGTGAGTCTATTTTGAGGAAGTGACCTTAGAAGACGTTTAAGTTTAAAAAATTTGGCTCTCAAAAGAAATTTCAGTCATTGTATTGTTGATATTTGGCTCTGTTGACTAATGAGTTTGCCGACCACTGTTCTAGGGTGATTTGTAAGTATTAACATTTGAATTTTAATAGGAATAACTCATTTAATCAACACTTTTATTTAACTCTCAAACATTCTATTGATAAATAATTAATACTTTAAATGTAATATATATTACAGATCTAGTGGACAGATTTAGTGAAAAAATGCATGTATAAAATATATTCCCTGCTTTGTGCATCACCCTGATCCCTTCCTAGCTAAACAGCCTATGATCCAACTAGTTGGTGATGGGGAGGAGGCTCTGAGTTACCCTAATCAGACTTTAATTAGTATGCTTAGTAATTTTTCCTTTCCCCTGTGTTCTTCCACCCTTAAAAAACAAACAGAAAACCCTCGGCGCTGATGATATCATGTTGGCAAAGGATCCTGCATCTGGTATCTGCACTCTTCTGTACGACAGTGCACCCAGTGGCAGGTTTGGCACCATGACCTACCTCTCCAAGGCAGCCGCCACCTACGTGCAGGAGTTCCTGCCCCACAGCATATGTGCCATGCAATGAGGCCTTTGGGCTCTGGCTACTAGGAGCCTTTTGCCAGCTGGTTCCTGCCTCTGCTGATTATGCATGGAACTGAACTGTGATGGCCTGATCACTCCCACCCTACCACAAGGAGAGTAAACTTTTCTGACAAACTAACTGCTTTAGAAGAAGTGAACCCTTGTTCAACCAAGCTCTTCACTGTGGTTCTTAATTCTTTAATGGGTCACAAAAGTATGCATGTGTTTTTATTCTCTAGACCTGTTACACACTTAGTGTTCTAACTGCTGTTTAGGGAGCAAGTATTAATAATAATGTATTCTTCAAGTTTGGTTTTCCTATGTGTAGTTTCCTTGTGCGAATGAGTGGTGGGTACTTTGAGACATTATTTCAAGTGAGTAAAGCCTAAATTGTTGCATTTTATGCTGCCATGAATTGCAAATATTTATTCTAAATGCCTTTTCTTGGAAAAAGAGCATAGCAGATTATAGTTTTCTTCTTTATTCTCATGTTGCCTTACACTGAATGATATGCTCCCTCCTGTGTAGAATTATTGTTTCTGCTTTTGCCTTTTCTGTATCCGCACACATGATTTCTAGTCTCCCTTTGGTGAAATGTCAAAAACTGAAAGTCTAGGGTGTATAGTTCAGGATTTGTGCATTAACACTTGAAGTCAGTTTTGTGAAGATTGCTAGGACTCAGATGTGTATTTGTAGTAGAAAATGCAGAATAACCCAGAGCAGTGGTCAGCAAACCATGGCTTGTGAGCCACATGTGGCTCTTTGGCCCATTGAGTCTGGCTCTTCCACAAAATATCGCGTGCAGGCGCGCACGTACAATGCGATTGAAACTTCGTGGCCCAATGCGCAGAAATCGGTTTTCGGCTCTCAAAAGAAATTTCAATCGTTGTACTGTTGATATTTGGCTCTGTTGACTAACGAGTTTGCCGACCACTGACCCAGAGAAATGAAGCCAGGAGCCCAATTCCAGAGAGGAAAGGGGACAGAAGAAAAGATGCCTAGGGTGTATTATGCCTAGGAAACGAAGAGGAAATCAGAGGTGGCTCCGTGCCCTGAAGAGAGCCTTTAGCACCTACTCCTGGCCTCTGAAGAGTAGGCTGGCACACCTCACAGAGAGTAATTGAAGCTTCTGTCTTTGGCAACCCGGAATCAGCAGTCAAGTCTCTGGATGCTTTCCTGAGCAATCTTTCTTTGTTTTCACCTGTTCTCTAGCTCACTCACCTACTTACTTTCTACAGCATCCACCCCATCCCCAGTTCCAGGCCCTCCCATTTATTAAAATCTCAAGTCTTCATTTCTTAATTCTAGTGTTGGTGTATAGCTTGCTATCTGTGGGCATATGTTCATTTCTTGCACACATCTGCATTTGTGTGTGTCTAAGCATACACGGGAAATTTTCTGAATATAAGTACCTTTATGTGGTTGTGTATCTGCAGCTATATTTGACAGACTAAGCAAGTATGTAAATATGAGTGTTGCTTGTGGCAGAGGGCAGTGACTGTGGCCTCAGACAGACCTCAGGTCTCTTTCTCTTTTTATTAAGACTATTAATCCTGTCATGGGGACTCCATGCTCATGGCTTCATTTAATCATCAGTATCTCTGAGAAAGGTCCCTACCTCCAACTTCCATAACAGTGGGGGTAAAAGTTTCAACCTCTGAATTTGGGAGGGACATATTTTGTCTATGACACTATCCTCTGATTTATGTATAAAAGCACTCCTAATTTCTCTGCTTACTCTCAAAGAATTTCCTACTTCAATCTTCTCATTCCCCCTGATTTTTCTGTTTTGTTTTTTTCTCCAATAATGGAGATGGAGATGAGGGACTCTGTGAATAATTTTTTACAGAAACATTGACAATCTTATGAGCACACATGAATAAGTGAGCATAATAGGGTGATAGAAAACAGAAACAAAGAGAGGATGGTCAAGCTTCTCAGTACCTCTTATAAAGCAAATGGAAACACACAGTAAGTAGCTTTCTGCTTACATGATTTTCTGGTCATGTACAAAGATACAACCCGTCCTGAAACATCGTCTTTTCACTTGCTGCAAGTGTGCCCCAACCACACAGAGTGCATCTGCTGTGGCACAGATGAAAACCACCACTCCCTCCCATACTAATTAGCCTGTGTTGACACCGATGGCTGCATTTTTCTGGGTTACTAAGTTGTCCAGCACTATGCTGCATTCTCACTATGTTTCACTTTTAAAACAACTTTTTAGAAAACTTGATTTGTATTTTACTCATTTTAAGCATGTAATACTAAAAAAGATAGATTTCTAAAGCACTTCTGTTTTTAAAATAGAATAAAAATAGAATTTCCAATTAAATCATGTGTGAAGCTTAACATGTGTTCTTGTGATTGGAGTTTATTTCATGGTTCTATTTTATGTAATCTAATTATATACTACCGTCTAAGCTCATTAGTTGGGTCAAAGTAGAATAATATTAATACATTAATCACACATTATACATTATATTATGTTATACTATAGTCCCAGTGCATGAAATTTATACACTTGGGGGAGTGGGGAGGTCCCTCAGCCCAGACCGTGCCCTCTCACAGTCCAGGAGCCCTCAGGGGATAGCCAACTGATGGGCTTAGGCCCGCTTCCCCATGGGACATCCTTAGAGATGCTGCGGAGGCAGGAGAAGCTCCCGCAACAACCCCTGTGCTCACCAGCCATGGCTGAGTGGTGTTCCCCTGTAGGAGCACACTGATCACCAGGGGGCAGCTCCTGCGATGAGTGTTTGCCCCCTGGTGGTCAGTACTGATTGTGTCATAGAGACTGGTCAATTTGCATATTAGCCTTTTATTATATAGGATAATTTATGTAAAGAAAGGCAGTTTTACAATTCAAATACACATCCGCTAAAACTAGGCTCACTAAATTCAATTGGGTTTATTGACATCTTTAGCGAACCTGTTCTAATAAATGAATGACTGATTTTTACTCAGCATTAACAATTGTGTGTAAATGGTACTTCTGTGCTCTGGAAGGGCTAAGGACAATTTTTTTCTCGTAAATATTATAAATATTCAGCAGATTCTTGTTTGTACTAATTAGCTTTTTGTGTAAAAGGAAAAAAAAGGGGGGGGGGGCGTTCATCCAGTAAGGATGAACAATTGCTGTAGTCCCATCTTGGTTAGTTAGGTTTTACTACATTATGGGAATTTTATGCAGCTGGTGGGGCAAAAGTTGTTCTTATCCCCAGCTCACAAAACATTTACCATCCATTTTGCACTTGTCAAATACCTAGTATCTTTACTAATGCAGTGGAGATACAGTGTTTTCCACATATAGTCTTCACTTTCTAGTAAACTTGGATAACCTTAGGTCTTGGTTTTCCCAGAACAGTCCCCATCTATGCCCATTGTCCTGACATAGTTATTAATAGCACTCTCTGTTACTCTCAAAAGTGTACCAATTTGGATGATATGGTCACCTTAAGCAGAACACTTAAGCAGAAGTCTGATTTCTTTTAAGGTTAAGCCTAAAAACCAACAACCTATTCTCAAAGCAATACTCAAGTAGTAAAGGCATGGGATGAAAACAACAATGGGGGTACACTTTCCCAAAAATTAAGGAATATTTGGCATAATGCCAGACATTGTTATATGGGCATTTGTCAAGGACTGAGGCACTTAGCCTTTAAGCAAATTGTTTCAGATCAAACAACTAGTACGTGGTAGAGCTGGGATTTGAGCCCAAGCAGTATGATTCTAGAGTTCAAATTTGTTGAGACATTCCTCAAAGAAAAGACATTAGAAAATGGTATGAAAACAAGGGCCAGAATGTTATGTACAGTTGACATATCAATAGGCAGATTGTGAAACACACAAAAGAAGATGGCCAAAGGGTAGGTACCTTTATAATATATTTGCTTTCCCATCTTCCTGCTTCTGCCAGCAAGTAAAGGCAGGAAAAATCAACAACAGTGGCTCAGCCCAACCTGACCTACTATTAATAGTTCAAAAACAACCATTAACAATAATGCCTGAGGAAAGTCAGTCAAGGAACTTGCTCAGTGTCACCACACATGGTAAACTTTGGAGCCACGATTCAAGCTAGTTCCTCTGAACTCCCGTACTCTGGCTGCAAACCCATTACTTTGGAAAGGGTTTTCTTCCAACTTAAAGACTGTATGGTTATTAAGCATGTGGAAAACTGAGGTTAGGGACTTATGGCAAGGTTTGTGCTCTGTCTTAATAATAAACAAGGGTCCAGACTCCCTGTGAGATTTGCTGCAGGAATATGCTGCCAATTCCAAAGCCTCCTGGAACAGTTTATCTTTCACTACTGTTGAACCCTGTTGCCAATTGAGGATATGGTTTCCAGTTTAAAAGCGAAGTTCCTACATTTAAGTGTTCAGTTACCTGTTTGTTTGCTAGATCTGAAAGAACACATAAAACAATCTTTTTTCATGTCATCTGATTGGAGTCCAGATTTTGGGGTGTCAGTTGGTCAACCTTGCCCTCTCCCTTCCACTGCCTATCCAGTAAGGTCGATTTTCTCCTTATAGCATCCACCTGTCTTGATCTCATCTTTCAATTCTTTATTGTTTAAAGTATTACATAAATCTCCCTTTTCCTCCATGGATCTCTCCCCAGCCACTCCCAGCACCCAGAACATATGCTCATCCCCCTACAATCTGTGTCCATTGGTCATGCTTATATGCATGCATACAAGTCCTTTGGTTAATCTCTTACCCACTCCACCCCCTTTTCCCTGCCTTCCCTCTTAGGTTGGACAGTCTGTTCAATGCTTCTATAACTATGGCTCTACTTTTGTTCAGTTTATGTTGATCATTATATTCCATAAATGAGTGAGATCATGTGATACTTATTTCTCTCTGACTGGCTTATTTTGCTTAGCAAAATGCTCTCCAGGTCTATCAATGCTATTACGAATGGTAAGAGTTACTTCTTTTTATAGCAGCATAGTATTCCACTATGTAGATGTACCACAGTTTTTTAACCCATTCATCTGCTTATGGGCACATAGGCTGTTTCCAAATCTTAGCTATAGCAAATTGTGCTGCTATGAACATAGGCATGCATATATCTTTTCTGATTGGTGTTTCTGATTTCTTGGAATATATTCCTAGAAGTTAGAACTCCCATCAGTTAATTCTTAAAGCCCCAGAGGCTTGTTCCTCTCTGTCTATAAACAGATGCATTTCTCCCTTGTCTTAAAAAACATTCCTGGGCTCTGACATTTCCCCAGGCTGATATACTATTTTCTTTCACAATTTCTTCAAAGGAAACTACACTTGACAATGTTGGCCTCACTCTTGAAACCCCTGCAATCTGGTTTTCTCCCTACCTCTCTCTTTTTTTCCATAGACATCAGTGAGCTCCCAATGGCAAAGGATTCTTCGACTCTTTTGCAATACATGACATTGTTATTGCCTTTTCCTTATAACCCTCTTATCCCTTGATTTCTATGAAACTGCACTATACTAATTATCACCTAACTATTCTTTTTTGTCTCATTTCTGGCATCTTTTCTCCTCCTAACCTCCATAAACAGGCATTCTCAAAAGTTACATTATATTCCTAGCTCAAAGTTTCTCACCATGGTGTGGGGCAGGTTTTAAAACGTGACATCTCATTGAGTTGGGGTTTTTTAAAGCCCACTCTAATGGTTGCTAAAAAGAATGAATTGTACTATCAATAGTAGGCCAGCAGGAGTGGAACAGAAACTAGTCAGATATTGCTGAAGGTCCAAATGAGAGATTAGAGTTCCAGAGCTGGGGTAGCAGCAGTGTGGATGAAGGGAAGTGGATGTACAGTATTTAAGGAATGTCTTGGAGGTGGAAATGTAAATTGCTGATGGATTAGATTTGAGAGTGAAGGAAAGAGCGAATATAAATAACTCCCAGGTTTCTGGCTTAGGCAACTTGATAGCTGTTGGTCTTGTTACTGAGCTGTGAAAAATGGGGAAGGATTGGGAAAGACTTGGGTGGGGAAATCAGGAAATTTGGTTTGAAAGAGTTAAGTGAGGTGTAACTGACATTCCAGTGTAGTTCTCTTGACTCTATCAGATAGTTTCCTTGACAATCTCAGCCACTCATGACTTTAGCTATTTCTTTCTTATGTAGGGGAAAATGGGTTAAATACCTGCTTAACTTGTTGATTTATGAAATGCAATACTTTTAACATTTTAAAAATCTAACTCATGTTCATTCTGCTTTACCCTATGAGTTATTCCTCATTGTTCTCGTCTGCATTATATTAATACTACTGGACTCTTCACCAAGACTTTAAATTTAAGAGTTTTCACTGACTCTTTTCCATCTCTCTCTGACCAATATCCAAGTAGTAAGGAGGTCCTATTGAACCTACCCTCCTCATTGTTTCTCCCTCTCCTCTTCCATTGCCTCTACCTTAGTTTAAATCATCATTACTTATTGTCTGGACCATTGTGACACTCTCCCTGCCTCTCATCTTTCAATAGCTTATCTTTCCTACACACCACTGCTATAGAAATATATTTTTTAAGATTCCTGTTTAACTGTCTTCCCATTTTTCACAGGATGAAAAGTCTGTTTAGCCTGGCGTTCAAAACCCTTCATTATCCATCCCCTTCATTTAAACCAGACTAGATAAATTCTCCTTTGTATTTTCACTTATGTTGGTGATTCTAGTCTGCATGCCTTCCTCTGGTTCCCATCTTCACCAAGTAAAATCCTGTCCATCTACTAAGACCCCGTCTAATGACACTGAATAAGAATCCCAGTTGCCATTTAAGTACCATTTATCAAGTACTTGATGCTTCTTTATTAAGTAATCTAAGCATCCTACATTCATTATCTGACTCTGCATTGCATATGTGTTGTTTTTTTTTTTTGTGTGTGTGTGTTTGTCTCATCACTATAAGCATACAAATTCCCTGAGAACAGAGATCAAATTGAATTCTTAGCTGAACCATACTTAGTTGATGTCAGATAAATGCTTGATAAATGACTGAATTTTTGCAGAGCTTTGAACTAGTTGCTATGGGAAAGTACAGAAGAAGCAGGAGAGCTTACATTCTGGTTAAAGAACACATTACAGGGAAAAGAAACGTTTGCAAAATAGAAGTATTGTGGGGATACTAAATGGATGGTTGAACAAATTTAGATTTAACACAGTCATCCTGGATGAATCAGGTTTATACAGTAAAGGATTCAGTGTCAGGCAAACCTGGTTTTGAATTCCTGCTTTTCCAAGTGTGTGACTTTGAACTGTTATTGTTTTATCTGTAAACTGTATCTATAAAATGGGGTATTACAACCTCCTTCACAGAACTGTTGTAAGGATAAAATGAGAAAATACATACATGTGCATATTGCATTGCTCAATAAATGTTTAGAGAGTAAAAAACAAGGTAGATTTTTGAAGAAGGTATAAATATTGGGTTGTCTGAGGGGTTAGGCTTCAGCATTGACCAGCTTGTATTAGCACATAGGATCCCCTAGGAACTTGGAAATACTGGTAATAATTCTAAAACTGCTTAAGAGTATTATTTAATATGGACCCTCACATGAACCCTAACAATTTGCTTAACTTTTCAATAGCTGCAAAAGCAAAGGGAAGGAGGAGAGATAACTGCTATCTCCAAACATTACAGAAAGTATCTGCTTACACCTTTACTGCACATGAGTTTTCAAGAAGTACCTAATTTGACATCATTGTTTAATTGGAGTCTACCAAGCAACTTCCAGAGTACCAGCCAGCCTCTTGGGAAAGTGCTATCAGCTTTGCCAGAGTCAATTTGAGAATGTTAACTCTTTTAAAAAATTGATCACTTTTATCCATACATATGAGATTATTACTCTTAATAAACATGGATAGGTGATGAAAAGCAATGAGGCACGGAATTTACTGTGTAAACTTTTTCAAACCCTTTGTTGCATTAATGGGTCATCCACCAAAAAAAAAAAAAAAAAATGTCATTTTGGTAGCTGGGCGCTACTCTTGGTGGCCACATTGTGTCTGTCTTTAATTACATGGATGTTTTCAGATTGAAACAATTCATAAAAAGTTGAAGTTTTCTTTCTTTCTTCCTTCCTTCCTCTCTCTCTCTCTCTCTCTCTCTCTCTCTCTCTCTCTCTCTCTCTCTTTCTTGTGCTAAAACTCAAATTCGCGGCTATTTTAGTAATTAATCCAGTTCTTTTGCTCCTCAAACCCCTCTAAACTACATCTCCCGGCATGCTCTGAAGCTCATCTGACCTCATCTCAAATGGCCCTATAGGGCCACAAGGATGGTCAGTTTATTCCGCGCTTATTTGTGCCCTAAAGCATCAATCCTAATTGGCAGTTATCTGGGCTTCTATATCTGCCTCCTGCCAACCTTTTTGAACCGTGGTCACTAAATGAAGAGGTTCTGGCCTAGGAAGGCCCATGCATTCCTTCAATTGGATAGAGAGCCAAGATAGTGACTCTAGAGATCTTGAGAATAAGAGGGAATGTTGACTAGGGAGCACCGCGGCTGCGGAACAGAGGAGCTGGAACTGGAGCCTGGGCTGAGTCTGAAAAAAGCCGGATCCGGATGGTGGCCCCGGAACAGCTGGAAGTGGAAGATGGAGGAGCCCCGGGAACCTGCGGACAGTGGGCATTCCCTGCCCCCAGTTTACATCTATAGTCCCGAGTATGTCAGCATGTGTGATTCCCTGGCCAAAGTCCCCAAACGGGTAAGAGAACTTGGGATGAAAGTTCGTGGGTTTTTGCGGTGGTGGTGGAGGGGGTCGGAGGGGTTGGAGGGTTAGACCGGAGGGCATTAGGAAGCGAAGAAAATACCGGGCTGGGGGAAATCTTAAGCAATAATTTGGGCAGTTGTACGAGGCGATGGAGAAAGTGTTCCCTTACAGTTTCCGAGGATGCCCAATAGACACAGGTGGGGGCGGGAGGGCCGGAGGAGGGTCTGGCACTGATGGGTAGCGTCTCTACTGCAAGGGGTCCCTGAAGTCGTGGAGAAGCTGCAGGAAAAACGTGATCCATCACCTTAATAAGGCCCAGTAGCTTTCTCCTTAGCGATTTAGATACTTTGTATACCCTGTTCCGAAAGCCATTCACTCTCTTTTCTCCCGGACCCCTGTTCTCCCGCCTCCGCCCAGGTCTGCGCACCCAGCTGAATATATTGTCTGCAGTGCTTTGCAACTGTTAAGTAAAGCGAAAAGAGTGGGGCTAAAAGTTCGTTCATTTGTTCAGGATAATGAAGTCCACGCAATTTCTCTGAATTAAACATTAAGGGGCTATTTTCTGCTTTTTTTGTTTTTGCTGATGTCTTTAGGCCAGTATGGTACATTTTTTGATTGACACATATGCACTACATAAGCAAATGAGATAATAAGTTATCTTTCATGAACAAAGCCCTGAACCCACGTAGTCCTGGCCTTAAAATCCTGCTTCACAGTGAGGCTAATTAGGGAGAGAGTGGTGCTTCTTTTAAAGCTTTTTGTGATTCACAGAGTATGAAATTTGCCTGTAAAAGCTCATTAAGAATTTAGAAAACTTGGAAAAAGTGCATGAAGCACTTATGATCCATTTCAAACAGGACTTGACTGCTGAAAGGGAAAGTATCCTGGTGAACACACAATATACACACAATGTGTTGTAGAATGTTATACCTGAAACCTATATAATTTTTTAAAGTTTGCTCTGAAAGAAGTAGAGCTTTTTATTATAATTATTTTTATTGATTTCAGAGAGGAAGGAAGATGCAGAGAGAGAGAAATATAAATGAGAGAGAATCATTGATTGGCTGTCTCCTGCAACCCAGGCATGTGCCCTGACTGGGAATCGAACTGGGACCTCCTGATTCATAGCTTGATACTCAACCACTGATCAACACCAGTCAGGCAAAACCTATATAATTTTATTAACCAATGTCACCCCAGTAAATTCAATAAAAATAAATTAAAAATAAAGTCTCATAGTGATAGGTGCTTTGTGGAGATTTTGAGGTGAATACATTTGGGTACTAAAACATAGGTGTTCAGCTAGGAGGTGTTCTGTTTTTTTTTGTTTTTTTTTGTTTTTGTTTTACCACTGAGCAAGATCTGAGGGTGCGGGTTCAACTTAAGACTTTTAGGTGTACCATAACCACCACCAAACTTTAATGAGTGAGCCTGGAGACAAGTCAAAACCAAAGAAAACTCTTGTGACCAGACACAGAACTAAGTGCATTTTTTTTTTAAAGTGAATTCACTGTTTGTCATCTTAAGAATAAATAAGAATAAAACCCTGTCACTTATAAGATTATGTATGACATTTTCTGGCCAAATAAATGTCTGTTTACACCTGTTAGTGTGATATGCCTCATTTCTCTCCCAGACGAACTGTAACAGGCTTTCAGACTTTATCCTTTTTATTAACTAAATCATTTATTGAGCACCTTCTTTGGGAATGTTTTTCAGCCATTTTTTAAAACCCATATCTTGTATAATAAAAGGCTAATATGCAAATTGTCCCCTTGGGAGTTTCCACTGTTCACTATGATGTTTGCTGACCACCAGAGGGCAGTGCGGAACAAAGGAAGGCCCCAGCTGACAGCCAGGAGGTCCTGATTGGCCTTGATTGCCAGCCAGATCTAGGGACCCTACCTATGCATAAATTTCATGCACCAGGCCTCTAGTATTTGATAAACATAAAAGCTAATGCCTTCTATTAAAGTCATTTAACATATCAAAAACTGACTGTAAGACAAAGTAAAACTGTCACATTTCCTTGCTGGGTACATGGGGAGGCTTTCAGTAAGTATTTGTTAAGTAAGAGGAAGGTTGCTAGAAGAGGGAGCTATTAGGGCTGGGAAACATGGTCCAAGGAACTAAAAATTTTATTTTAATGGGCAAATTTGTCACCTCCAAGGATATAGACATGTTTTCTTGAAGAAGGAGCAAGAATCAAGTCCTCCAATCTTGGGTATGTATATTTAAATTTCGAGGTGGAACCTCCTTTCTTTTGGCCTGTTTAGTGCTTGTCCTAACATGAGAAGTCATAGTAATTCAGGAGAAACTTGTGGCCCTATTCCCAATCAATAAACATTAAAACACACACACACACACACACACACACACACACACACATACACACACAGTACTGCCTCCCTGTGGCCTAGGTCAGTGGTCGGCAAACTGTGGCTCTTTGGCTCCTTGAGTGTGGCTCTTCCACAAGATACCACTGCCTGGGCTAGTCTATTTTGAAGAAATGGCATTAGAGGAAGTTAAAGTTTAAAAAATTTTGGCTCTCTAAAGCAATTTCAATTGTTATACTGTTGATATTTGGCTCTGTTGACTAATCAGTTTGCCAACCACTGGCCTAGGTTATTGCTTTTCCAATTTAAATATGAATATGAATTACCTTGTTAAAATACAAATCTGATTTAGTGGGTTGGAGGTTAGGCTTAATTCTGCTTTTCTAACAAGCCCCCAGGTGATGCTGCTGTCAGTCACAGACCACCCTTTGAGTTGCCTGGGCAATAGCAGCAGTGGTGGATCAGGAATAGGAAATGAGGAATAAATAGGCAGCTAGAGGTTAGAGGTGGTAAGTCTTGTCATTAGCTTAGCATCCTGTATTCTCTCAGTCACTCCTGTTTGTCACTTCTTATGAGGAATTGGTTGGGAGCTTCTGGGTGAAGCCCAGCTCCAACTGTTTGCCCTTCCTCTCCTTCTCAGAGGCAGGTGTGAGGGACCAAACATAGGAACTTTTATGTTTTGGGTTGCCTTTTTTTAATCCTTTAATATTAACAATGATAATTATCCACAAAGCATTTTATGTATGTTATCATGTAAGTTCCATAAGATCTCCCCACTTTACAGATGAGGAAACTGAACTACAGAAGAATTCTTATCTGAGGTTATAGAGCTGTTAAGTATAGTTAGTAAAGGAATATGCCAATGAAAGTAAAAATATAGTTGAAGGATTACATGGCCAATTAGGAGCTGATTCAGATGAAATATCTCAGCCTGCTGGTTTGTCATGAAATTTGTAACTCTCAGAGTAATGTCCAATGTCTGATTATTTAACATATATATATGTTAAATATATATATATATATATTACTACTTATAAACTCAAGGGAAAAAAAATCTATCCTCTCACCCCCATTAATGGAGCCATTACATAGTTGTGAGGAAATAAGGACCATATACTATAGTAGTGGAGTGGAAGAAGAGAACATGTTTATTACTTCAGCCCCTGGAACAAAAAGCTAGTTATATTTTCTCATATCACTAGTTCCTGCTTCTAGCTTTTAGTATGCTCTGGATCTGACTTACTCACCTCTCCTTGCTTTCTGTTATTTTTAGAATAGTTAAACCCAAAGTGGCCTTCATAGGGGAGGTGGCCACCTTCTATACCGATGCCTATCTGCAGCATCTCCAGAAGGTCAGCCAAGAAGAAGAAGATCATCCAGACTCCATGGGTAATGTTATTACTAAGCAATGATGGGAGATATACAACCTCCATTTATATATCAGTACTACTTAATCTTTTATAACTTGCATGGTGGTCTTTAATACATTTTAATAAGAACTAATGTGTTAACCAAACTTAATCTCTCAGTTTAGCCACATACATCTCACCAGAGTTGAGCAGTACTGAATGATGGATCAAATGGAAGAAAATCTAGTTGCTTGGGTCTTGCTGTGTCTATGATGATTTAATTGTCCTGTTACCTTATCTTTTAACTTGAGTAGAGATTTATGTTGTGGCTAACTTTTCTACTTTATCTTTCATTAAACAGCTGCATTAAAATAAATTAGAAATGGCCAATAGCATAATCTAGAGCACATGTGTCAAACACAAGGCCCGTGGGCCAAATCCGTCCCTCCAGGCCTTGCAATGTGGCCCGCACCGCACTGTCATCACTGCACTCCGCTGCGTTTCCATCACAATGACAGTTTATGACTGTTCAGTAAACCATTCGGCCCGCGATTTAGGCTGGATTTTAGATTTTGGCCCCTTCTCTGATTGAGTTCGACACCCCTAATCTAGAGAAACAACAGTGTTTAGTAGAAGAACTGGACTGGGGGCAGGGCAAGAGACCTGTGTCCCAGGTCTGGCTCTTTGACATAGAGGAGACATATCTCTTATTAGACCTCAATATCTCCATCTATGGGATGTGACAAGTTAATCTTAAAGGTTTAGCTTAGAGAGCTTAACACTTTAAATAGTTCTTTTCCTGATATTGGAAATGGTTCTCTCTTGTTTGGAACTGATTTTTTGCATAGTAGCTTTTTGGTAGGGTACATTGTTGTTGTACTTCAACCTATTCCTTCTAAGAGGGTTCTGGACCTAAATCCAATGTGTGGAGGGAGGGGTTTACCTCCACACCACCAAGCAATGCTCAGTGTCAGAATTGAGTTGAATAGTCCTGCTATTCAACTCAATTCTGACACTATCTACCTAGAGATGGTATCAAATTCCCCAGGTAAAGGGCTTAGTCCCTCAAGACTGCTGCTCATTTCAGATGCCAATCACAAGCCCAGGCTGTTACCTGTACTTCTGACCACTCCTTGGGTTTGATTAATTTGGTAGAGCAGCTCACAGAACTCAGGTAATCCACTTACTCTCTAGATTACCTGTAATTATTCAGGTGACCCTTGAACAATGCAGGTTTGAACTGTGCAGGTCCACTTATACGTGGATGTTTTCAATAAATACTATAAAATGTTTTTTCTCTCTCTTATGATTTTCTTAACAACATTTTCTCTGGCTTACTTTATTGTGAGAATACAGTATACATATATATAGCATACAAAATATGTGTTAATTGATTGTTATTGGTAAGGCTTCAGAAGGTCAGCAGTAGTCTATTATTAAGTTTTTAGGGAATCAAAAGTTAATACATGAATTTTCAATTGTGCAGGATGGTTGGCTCCTCAACCCCTTTGTTGTTCAAGTGTCAACTGTAAATGGCTGTAACTCAGAAGTCAGATGGAAGAGATGCATAAGGCAAGAGATAGAGGGAAGAATACAGTTTCCATGCCCTCTCCAAGCATGCCACCCTACCCAAATCTCCACATGTTCATCAACCCAGAAGCTTTCTGAACCCTCTCCTATTGGGTTTTATGGAGACTTTATTACATAGGCATGATTGGTTAAGTCATTGGCCAGTTGGTGATTGAACTAAATCTCTAGTTCCTCTCCCCTCTCTGGAGGTCGAAGACTGAGACTGAAATTTCCAACCCTCTAATTACATGGTTGTCTCCACTGGCAATCAGACTCATCCTTAGGTGTGCAATACTGGTTGCCTCATTAGCATAACAGACACATTTATGGATTGCTCTCATCACTGGAGAAATTCTAGGAGTTTGAAGAGCTCTGTACCAGAAATGGGGACAAAGGTCAAATATTAGTATACTAGTATTTCTTATTATAAATCACAAGATCATACCTCCTCTTTCTCCAATTCATCTTTTAACAAGCTCTTTTGATGTTTCCCCAAAGGTTATGACTGTCCAGCTACAGAAGGGATATTTTGACAACGCAGCATCTGTGGGAGGGGCTACAATCACAGCTGCCCAATGCCTGATTAATGGAATGTGCAAAGTAGCAATTAACTGGTCTGGAGGGCGGCATCATACAAAGAAGTAAGAAAATGACCTTTCTGCTTTCTGCCACTTCCCTTGAGTCAGTTCCTCTATTATGTAAGCTCATATGCTTATTGTGTTGGCATTTATTGAGAGACGTGTGTGTGTGTGTGTGTGTGTGTGTGTGTGTGTGTGTCTATATATCTACATCTACATCTATATCTATATCTATATATCTATATTTATATCTATATCTATCTATATAGTGTAATATGCTAATTAGGCCAGATGTCCTTCCGGACATCCTTTCAGATGAAGCTGGGGCTGTGAGGGAAGCCCAGGTCCCAGTTGCCAGAGGGTAGCCAGTGCTGGAAGTTGGGGGAAGGAAAGCCTACTCTTGCACGAATTTCATGCATTGGACCTTAATAAATGTACACATATATATGTATATATGTATCTTAACACTTTACTAGACATTATGAAGAGATGCAAGTGATATAGATGACATAATATAGTGGAAAGCAAACTATAGAAAGTCAGGATGCTCAGCTTTTTCTGCAAATTTTGTTAACTGACTAGGACAGATAAACCACTCTAGGCCTCAGTTTCGACATCAGGAAAATGGGCAGGGCAAAGGATATAATTTCAAAATTCCTTTTCACCTTTCTGTAAATCCCCATCTTCAAGAGATTTATACTGTAGAAACATTAACAAAACTAGAATAATAATGGAGAAACATCAGTTTTGGTACCAATTGAATGCACATATGAGCTGAAGAAATTTAACATCAGGGAGAAATTAATCATGGAAATCTTAGAAAAGATGCATTGTAGAACTAGGTCTTGAAAGATTTTCAAGTAGGTGGGCAAATGATGAGAATAGATTTAAAACAAAAGCGTGAAGAATCAAGGAGTCTTATGCTGTCATCTCTAAGGAAAGTAACAGCTGAGAGGTGTCACTCTGAGGTGAAAAGGCTTGGGAAACAGCTATTCTTAGATGCTACTTGGAGTTAAAGGAAAAGCCCTTTTGGAGTTTCATGTTAGTCTTTCAAACAGCTACAATACATTCTGTATCTGACAAGGATTGCTGGGCCTTAGTCAGCATTCAGCATCTTGCTTGATATGTCTGTACTACTTAATACATGTTGAAGAAGAAAGATTTCTAAAACTCTGAATTAGTCAACATGCTAATGTGTCATCCACACACTGGTTGTTCATACCATCATCGGTCATGACCTTTATACTTTCCAGTGTCCTTGAGCCTGGAGAAAATAGCACTCTGTTTTTGTTTTTTCCAGAATAAAACCTTGAACACAATTTCAACATATGCAGGTTAAGATAATAACATGGGATTCTTTTAATCAAATTGACAGATTTCATAACCATGGAAGTCCTTGAGAAAGTTTACTCCTAAAATCTGCAAGGTGATGGAGGAAAGAGAACCAGTGTTTAGCAATATATATATAAGTTTTGTTTGACCTTAAAAACAAAGAGAAACAACCTGCCTTTTGTTAGTTTTTGCACTATTAACTCATTATACGGCCATAAGTGTCTGTAGATGCAAGAAGTGGACCTTCCCCACACGCCACACATGTCTATAAAAAAAAAATGTTGCCTGGCCAGTGTGGCTCAGTGTTTGAGCATCAGTCTATGAACCAGGAGGTCATGGTTCAATTCAGGTCAGGGCACATACCCAGGTTGTGGGCTTACTCCCCAGTGTGGGGCATGCAGGAGGCAGCAGATCAGTGATTCTCATCATTGATGTTTCTATCTCTCTCCCTCTTCCTTTCTCTCTGAAATCAATAAAAACATATTTTAAAAACATATTTTAAAAATCGATAAGTGACAGTCCTGACCAAATTTAAAATCATTTTTCATGAGAATTTTCAGCTGAAAATATTCAAGAATACCTGAATTGTGAGTAATATATTTTTATATTCATTGCAAATTGATTTTTTAAATTAAATATCATGACATGTGGGGATGGTTTCCATTTTGGATGAGTGGCAGTTAACTGGTTAAAAAAATTCAGCAATCCCAAAGAGTAAATAAAAGGCCTTATCTCCTTGAAGCTCCAGATAAAAGAGGAAACCACCACTTTCCCTGAACCAAGAACTTATATGCCTTCTTGTGTTTAGTGAATTGAGAAAAACAGTGTGGTTTTATGGAAAATGCCTGGTTGTATGAGTCAAATCCAGTTCGTGACACTTGTAGGAGCTTATGTATTTATTTATTTTTTTAATATATTTTGATTTTACACAGAGAGGAATTGAGAGGGACAGAGAGTTAGAAACGTCTATGAGAGAGAAACATCGACCAGCTGCCTCTTGCACACCCCCCACTGGGGATGTGCCCACAACCAAGGTACATGCCCTTGACCGGAATCGAACCCGGGACCTTTCAATCTGCAGGCCAACACTCTAGCCAAACCGGTCCCGGCTGTTTATTTTATTTTTTAAAGAATTTTAATGCTTCTAATCTATGACAATACCTTCTTAATGCTACATCAGAAGTTGATTCATCAATGCTGAATTCAGAAAACATAAGCAAGAGAGATCCAACATTTTATTGGGACTGCACTATTAAGCACAATAATAGGCATCATGATTCAAGAACAAACAAACAAAAAAAAAAACACCCAAAACACAAAAGTGGTATAGTGAGGAGCTTATGCCTTTAAATTCATTGCTTCAGGCCTGCTAGGGCTTGGGTTACTTTCCAGTGGAATATCCAGATACCTGATACTTCTTATCACTGTTTTGCTGCCAAAGGAAGAGCACTCTATCTTAAGCCAATCATGGCTGCTTCTGGGCTGTGTGTAGATATGGGCATACCCACACACCATTATTATAACTATTCCAGACAGTTTTCAGCTGATCCTACTTTGCAACAGACACACCTGTGGTAAAAAGAAAAATTAGAGAGTTTCTAGGGATTGCCCCAATTCAGAGGGTTCTTGACACCTTTAGAACCTCTCTACAGATGGACATTTAGTCTACAAATTTACATCTAGCCCAGCGTTTGTCTGTTATAACCACAATGTTTTTCCATTTCCAAATATATCTATACATTCATACATGCATTTTATTAATTCAACATGAGTTGATTAAGAACCTACTATATGTCAAGCATATGTTTATCAACACTAGTAAGCAGAGGCATATAAATTTAAAAATGATATATTTTTTCCCCTAACAATTTTGAAAAAAAGAAATCTTTACTTCAAAATATTCAGATACTGGAAGATTATAATGAAATTATCATGTTCTTTTTGAAAAGTTTGGAAATAAGGGTTAAAAGAGTGAGGAAAATGTTCATACCTCTTGATCCAGTAATATTGTATTATTCCTAGCAAACTATTCTAATGAAATAAACCAATTCTGCCCTCAAGAAATTAATATCACTGAGGTAAGACAGCAATAATTAGATCTGAAAGCTAAAAAAGAGTGATTTTCAAAGAAAATTCTGTAAAGGAAAATTAATGAGGGACTAATGATATTATATATTAAACATACAAAACTAGAATAATGAAATCACTGGTACCATGTCTCTTTGGGGAGTTTACATATGATATTCTAGTAAACTCCCCAAAGAGATGGTTATATATAGGAATTCAGACTGTTATAAAGCGTGTGTTGCTAGTGAAAGGGAGAAGAAAGGATTGTTCAGTAAATGAAGATGTGAAGCATTTATACTCTCATCTCCTGCAATAAACTAAAATAAGTGACAGCTGGAATGAAGAGTTAAAAATAAAAAAAGCAAATTAAAAAAAATAAAACTAGAGGATATTTATCAAGCCTCTGAGGGGAAATAGTTTTCTAAGCTTTAGAAATAATAGAAGAAACTCACAAAGGATAAGATCAATAAATTTGACTGTATAAAATTTTAAAACCAAAATAATTAAAAAGTTTTGTGGCCATTTTAAAAACAAAATCTAAACACATATTGAAAAAGCATAGTTGACATAAATATGATGAAATGTGATAGGTTTATATAAGGTACTCAGTATGATGTATAAGAAGAAATATGGGCAAATAATATGAATAGACAATTTACAGAAGAGTTTAAGTATGACTGGAAGACATGGGACAGTATTCATCACTACTAATCAAAGAAATGTAAATTAAAACAACCAGGAAAGCCTGTATTTAATAGAATTGAAAAAGATGGTACTCAGTTTGTTATTAATAGTGTGGTTTGGTTCAATCCTTAAGAAAGCAGTTTGAAAGTCAGCAGGTGTTAATAATCTTTCATGGAGTAAACCTACTCCTGAGAATGTTTCCTAATAAAATAGTTCAAAATATAGAATAAATTATATGTATGAAGGTGTTTATCAGTGTTATTTATTAAAAAAAAGAAATAACATGAGGGCCCAGCTGATAAGAATTAAAAGAATGTCCATGTGCCTTCTCAGGCAGCTCTCTAAATCTCACCCTTTTTTACTAATTAAAATAAAATTTAAAAATTAATAATAGGGCACTAAAAAAATAAATAACATGAATTGTTTAGCAATAAGAAAATGGTGAATCCTCTCTGTGGAATATTATACTGTTATTTTAAATGATAATTATGAAAATTACAGGGCATATCAGAAAAATACTTATGTGCTAATGAAAAAGCAAATTTTAAAATTCTATGCACACTGCAATGACAATTTTATAAAACACAAAACAAAATGGGGGAAAAAACAAGAGAATGATAGTGGTGGTTATGATAGGGTGGCAGAATTATTGATTTTTTAAAATGTGTTTCTCTAGTTTTCAAATGTTCTATAACACATGTGTCAAACACAAGGCCCGCGGGCCAAATCCGTCCCGCCAGGCCTTGCAATGTGGCCCGCACCGCGCTGTCATCACTGCACTCCGCTGCGTTTCCATCACAATGACAGTTTATGACTGTTCAGTAAACCATTCGGCCCGCGATTTAGGCTGGATTTTAGATTTTGGCCCCTTCTCTGATTGAGTTCGACACCCCTATTCTATAATGATGTTTTATTACCTTTACAGTTAAAATGTTATCAAAATAAAAATAGTAACAGCAAATGAAACAAATGGTTAAAAA